AAATCAACATAAACCACACCTGAATAAAAATACATCAGTTTGAAACCACAATTAAAGTAAAGCTTTCAAACATCACCAAACGTCCACGACCATGCTACTTAAGGGGCACTAATTCAGCTGAGGTAGTCAGGATAAAATTACATTCAACAGATTTCTTGTTCCAGTCATTCAAAAACCGTACGTCAGGCTCTAATAACTCAGCCGCTAACTCTTTGAGCACACACTGCCGAGCTTTTCAGACACCCCTGAAGGCTAATAATTTTTTTTTAATAATGAAAGCTACAGTTTTCATAAAGTTATTTGCCCCAAGACCTGAGGCTTTAAAGTAATATCAAATACCACAGAACATGACGACAGAGTAAGAACTAACTGCACTCAATGTAGAAACACCATAAGCTATTTACATATCAAGAAAAATCAAATATGTCATAGATTTCTTATATTCTATTGGTGTTACTGTACGGAATAATATGGACTGGGACATAATGTTTGGAATACCCTGTTAAATACACCGATATGATAAGTATACATTAAAACATATATAACAGCAGATTTTGCTGTCATTTGAAACAAATGCTTCATTTGCATTAGACATTTTCTAGAATAACTGAGTAAAATTCCAAACTACTACTACCGTACTAGACTGCCTAGTTAATGGGCTCTTGAAATCTTACCGGACTGTGAAAAATATATTTCAGTTAGTTCTCAGTATTTCACCATGTCAATTTGAGTGCAAAACCTTATCTACTCAATGTTTTAAATCACTTTTCTATTAAGTTCAAACATAGGACTTTAAACGAAGAAATGTAAACATCATAAGCATTTATGTAACAATATAACTTATGTACCAAAAATACTGTATGCAACATAAATTACACCCTTACAAAAGCAAATAAACTTAGAAAATAGTATGTACTTAATAATTTATATATTATCTCTGAAAAAATCTTGTGCAACACTATCAAATTACATATGCAAAAATCGATACTCAATCTATGACAATGTACAGGATTGTTGAATTATAAAATCATTTGTGCAGGACTATGTCAAAACTCCTAGACAGATGTCCCTGTAACAAAAAGCCTTTACTGTTTTTTTATATAAGTAATACACTATCTAGATTCAGTCTCTTTCAAATCTAGTATCCCTAGAGTTTTTTTCCCTACTAGATTTTTATTTGATTAACCAACTCTATTTCCTACTAAAAATATATTCTCCTTTTTAAATGGATATTCATAGGCCCTGAGTCCTCAAGCCCAATCTTGGTCTGAAGAGCTTAATGAATAGACTTTTTGCTATCTGATCATAGTTTCTGACTTACAATATGGAATCCAACAATAAATCTATTCAGATGAAAAGCGTTTGAAAATAAGTGATGTCTAGAATGAAGTCCTTCAAGGAGGCTCTAAACTGGGATGGCCTAATGCCAAAAGGAATAAATGTGTCACACTCAATATCAAAGATAGTTATGAATTTGGAGAATGCTTCATATTATATAGTTGAACTTCATAATCTCACACTATTTTGAGAGATTCCTTACCTGCTTTACAGCAATCAAAACCAAAGCATCACACAGAAAAATAATGGCGCAGAACAGAATTCTGAAAATATATCTTGATCAGTTACAATTCTGGTAGAAAAACTCTTGGGCTTCAGGCAGGAGTAGAAAGAACATACACAGAAAATGCTTCACACTGTTTATGCTTAAGTCTTTTCATGAACTGCTATTTAAAAAGAGAACAGAATTTAAAGCGATCACAAAAAAGTAAATCCAAGATTATTAGTAGAAATGTTTGTAAGTTTTAATATACAGTATGTCTGCATTAGACCTGACTTCCCTGTTTAACACGTACTTCTTTGAAATGCCAGTAAGCGATATCTGCAGAACATCCTTGTTATTCCGGCTGCTCTGTACAATGAATGCAAATTTGGTAGGCACAGTAACATGCACTGCCACACAATATGCTGGCAATCCTTCTCCATTTGTTTTCTTGGATTTATGTTTAGCATAGTGCAAATACCTAGAAATTATGGGATTGTTTGCATATTGATATCATAGTATATGATGGCACAGCCAGAGTTTATTAAACATAGCACTCTTTCTTTTCTCTGACAGGTAGCAAGCTACGAAGGAGAAACACATATAACATCGCAAGGCTGTAGCCTAATAGGAGGATATATATATCCTTTATCTTTTCATGCCCTTCCTCCGACTGAAAACGAGACAGGCTTGATTTGTACTAGTGCAGCACTTGGCAGAGAACTTTATTTGTCTTGGACAGTGAACATATCATATGGAAACTAAAGGACTCTTCCAATTATTCCTTTTGTATAATTAATGATGCAAATTTCACATGATCAGAGTTGACTATAAAGCTCAGTATAATGACCATCTGACATGTGGAACTGTATAAAATAGATGTTCAAAGTCTAACAAAAATTCTTCTTTATGTTATGCTACAAACCT